TGGTCTCCGCTTGATTCTCTTTTACCTCTCTTCCACTATGGAGAGTTAAAGCTGCTGACACCTTGATATTACTAATGTATTTTAATGTTAAGTATGAAGTGTTTCAAGGTATCATCTGCTAAAAAGAAGCAGATAAATGGCGCTGCGCCTGAAATGCGCCGGCGACGCATGGCTGGAGGACGGAAAGGGGGGGGGGGGCTTTTATTCCCGGTTCAGTTGGCGCGACTGGGTCATCACTGGGCGCCGCTGTTGGGCATTCCTCTCGCCAGTGGTGCGTGCGCGCGCCGAGCACAGGGCATTCCGCGAGCGGGACGGGACATCTGACCTGGCGATGAGTTCGCAGACAGCAGCTTACTGTCTAATCAATGTAAATGATAATCTTCCCTCCAATTTTCATGCTAGACTCTATCTTTTTTCGCAGGCTCTCTGTCGACACGACAATGCCGCTCATCTGTGAAGTTTGCGCAAAGGTGATAACTACAGAAAAAGGACTTCGTGTCCATCTCAGAACCCACACAGGAGAAAAGCCTTTTGAGTGTGCAATGTGCAACAAGAAATTCACCGATAGTGGAAATTTGCATGTTCATCTCCGAACGCACACAGGAGAAAAGCCTTTTGAATGTACAGTGTGCAGCAAGAAATGTTCAGAAGCTGGGAAGTTGCGTCTTCATCTCCGAACGCACACAGGAGTAAAGCCTTTTGAATGTACAGTGTGCAGCAAGAAATGTTCACAGGCTGGGGAGTTGCGTCGTCATCTCCGAACGCACACCGGAGAAAAGCCTTTTGAATGTACAGTGTGCAGCAAGAAATGTTCACAGGCTGGGGAGTTGCGTCGTCATCTCCGAACGCACACCGGAGAAAAGCCTTTTGAATGTACAGTGTGCAGCAAGAAATTTTCGAATAGTGGGAATTTGCGTCGTCATCTCCGAACGCACACAGGAGAAAAACCTTTTGAATGTACAGTGTGCAACAAGAAATTCGCCGTTAGTGGGGATTTGCGTGTTCATCTCCGAACGCACACAGGGGAGAAGCCTTTTGAATGTACCGTGTGCAACAAGAAATTTTCACGGGCTGAGGAGTTGCGTCGTCATCTCCGAACGCACACAGGGGAAAAGCCTTTTGAATGTACATTATGCAACAAGAAATTTTCAACAAGTGTGTATTTGCGAGGCCATCTCCGAACCCACTGAAGAGTAGAGCCTTTATGAGTACAGTGTCCGCTTTGTACCGTTAGTAATTCTTAGACCTACCTAGGTCTTACATCTTTGAACTCACATATTAAAAAACTACTTGATTGTACTGAATGCAAGAAAAAGCTTATTTTCAGCACAACTTCTTGTCCAATCGAGATGATTTGTGGACACTGTCTCCCACAAGATTTCTTTGAAACATTGTTCTTATAAATTTGGTGCAAGTATCTCCTCATTTATCTTTTTGTATCTGTTTTGTGTGTTAGATTTCTGTTGCAATACGCGCATGCCATAATCCATTTTAGGCATGGCAGAATTGTATGCCGTACAGTTTTTCTTAATTTCGTTTTCTTTCGTCATTAGTATCTTTGTCTTAAATACTTGTTGATTTTTGTGTCACTTAACTTTTTACTTTTTTACATTCTTACATTTCCTCAGTTATATTTTGTGTCAATGCGCATTTATGCGAATAAGTGTGTAACATCAAATTTTTGCTCAGTAAGACTCAACAATTAAACTACAAAGGCATTTTAAAACTTTCGTAGCTTTATATTGAGAGATATCTTTAGTAGTTAGTACAACTTTCCTTGTATGTCGTAGCATTGTGTTGTTTTCCATTTCAGGGTATTTTATAATTTTTTGATATGTCCCCATTTTTAGTTAAGATTCCGAGAGAAACACTACTCTTGGAACCGCAATAAAATAATAAAGTACCTGTAAGTAAAATTTTGTTAGAAGTCCTTTTGTTTTGCTCGTTCATGAAACCTAAATAATTGCACCTATCGGCAGAAAATATCTCGTGGAATCGAGCAAAATAATCGCTGTCTTACAATTTTTGCACTCATAAACGATAAGCTCTTTCAAAAAGAAAATTCAAACGTGACCAGGACACTCATGGTGTCCCACCGCTGTCTCGGGCTGCAGGGCCGGCGGCCGATGCATTGCCACGCACTTAATAATCCCGCGCCGTTACAGCCGCTCGGCATTATTTATTCAGCCGTAATCCGCATCAGCGCGCTGCGCCACCATAACCAGCGAGGGAGAGAGGAAGTAGAAACAGGTCGACGAATTCAAGTGCATCTCGAGACAATGTCTCTGCCCGGCGCCCTCCCGCCCATCCGCTGCGGGGTCCCCTCGCCATGCACTGCTTCTTTCATTTTCGCCGAGGGTGGCGGGTGCTGCATGGCTCTTTGGGGGCAGCCCGCCTAGCCCGCATCGCAAACACAGTACAGTCGCGCGAGACGTTTGCTTTGCACGCAGGGTTCAATTCCAAACTACCTACATGTTATTAGCACTTTTAATTTTGTGAATATATCGTTAATTTTCAACTGAAAAGTTGTCCGAAGACTTAATTTAACAAATCAAGTTTTCGAAGAACCGAAGCAAGGGACGTTCGGCATGCAGGTAGAGAAAACCTTTAAAACGTTCGGCATTGTTCAAGTACACTACGCTCACTCCCCCCCCCTTTTTCCGATAATACTTTGCTAGATTGATACAAGACGGCCCGTTCCGTGCCCCCCCCCCCCTCTCCCTCCCTGGCGCCTTCCACTTTCTTTTTTAAATGCAAAAGGGCGCCGTAGTGGCAGAGCTGTGCTGGTCCAGAAGCCCGCGCCGTCGCAGCTTTTCAAGTGACCCCCTCCAGATTTTTCAGGAACGTCCTACTCCTCCCCCCCCCCTTCCTTTTTGCTCTCTCTCACTCCTCGTCCGGCCCTCCCTGCCGCCTTGTCCCGCGGCGGGAGCCGCCCCGAAAAGCGTGTAAACTCCCAGGCGTATTTCACTCGTGCGGCTCAGCTAATTAAGATAATTCTTGCAGTGTAGCAGAAACCACAGCCGAACATCATGCTGAGGGCTGCAAATGAAATTAGCATGCTACTACAGTCAACGTTTTTTTTTCTCCCCCTCCCCCCTTTTCTCTTTCGCCGATGTTTGCGCGCGTATTTGCCTTTTAAAAAAATAACGGGTACACAATGCAGTGCTGTGTGTGCGCGTGTGCTCATAGTCCGGGGGGAACAGCCAGGGGTTTGCACACCCAACGCGGAGCGGGGCCCCATACTAATTGACATAATCCAGACTCCTAGATTTGCCGCCGAACGGTTCGGCGCATCGCCACTCGCGAGCAAACACGACGGACAAGTGCTCGGGCTCGGGCATTTAGAGAAGGATCGTCGTGGAATTGGATCCCGTCCGGCTGACGGGCGCCCTGTCATCTCAGACTTGCAGGAATTCTTTGTGGCGGCGGCGACCTCCCCGTGGCGGGCCGGGGGCCGGGGCGGCCATACCCCGCGATCAAAGGGCCGACATGTCAAAGGGACGAGCGGGCATTTTAGGCATGCATATCGAGCAGGCGGGGCGGGGCGGGCGGTGGAGCCTGCGGCGGCGCGGGACGCACGGGACCGGCCCGTATGAATACGAAGGAGCGGCGGCTCATGAGCAAGATGTCATTGGGTCCCCCGGGACAGTGACTCGGGGCCCTCCCGACTTGCCTCTAAGACGCGGCGGTCCAAGTTCCCCCGCGGAAGGAAGAGCGAAGTTGGTTTTCGTGACCAAGGCGGCTATGTACGTTGCACGAAAGAAACGCCATTGGAGGCATGAACAGCACAAGTTGACGATATCTTTATTTATTCCAGGCAAGTCAGAAGTAAAAGCTATCAAAACCTTCCTAATGCAACACGAATTTATTTTCAAAATTTTGAAAACGTTTCATTCAACCTCAACTTTTTGAAAAATCCGGAATTTTTATTCAACTTGTGTAGTATTCCTTTATGATTTGTAATTTTCTGTCTTTAATCCAAGTTGCCCGGCAGTTTCCGAGTGTTAACACTCGAAAATATTCGCAGCAGCGGGGCGACGTGCAGCGAGTAATGCAGTGCCGTTATTGGCAGCGACGAAGCGATCACGGCGGCGGGCGTTACAAACGACAGAGATTGCGCGGGACACCGGGGAGGGGTTGAGCGATGGCCACGGTGTTCCTCCGCGGGGGAGGGGTGGGGGTCGTCTACAAGAGTACGTACAATCTTCCCGGCCGCCCCGCTCTCTCCCGTCGTACTCGTGTAAGGCCGGGGGTTACAGCGTGCCACTATTTGTTCCCGGCCTACGCAATGCACTCTCTGCCTCCTGCACTCCGCTGCATTCTGCCTGCGCGGTAGAGTGCGGGCCGCGCGTAGCTGTCGCCCGGTGCGAGTGCTGCAGCGCTTGGGAATGCTGCGCAGTGCGTGTGGGCGGGGACGGCATTCATGATTCGCTTTTCTCTCAAGAAATATATATCTCAAAACTTGTCCTTTTTTTTCGTTTGTGGAATTGTTATTTAGCCGTTATTCTGGAACATCGTCGTCACATGACAGAGGGGTTTTTAGAACTACCCCAGTCCACGTCTGGAAAACAAGAACCGGCGTTTCAAAATCCGAGCTTCTTTGATCTGCCGGTTTGCCTTTTCTTTCTGTGCTCATGGAAAGCAAGGCTTTCTTTTGCTTCGCTCGCTAATAGCAAACGTTATTCCCTTCCGATCTCACATGCTGACCTCTCTCTCATTTCATATTCAGCGTGCAATTACAGCTCCAGAGCTAGGAGGCGGCGCTCCTGCTCACCGCCGCGTTCAGCGCTTCGCCTCTCGCGAAATAAGAAAATTAAAGTAGGCGAGGAAGCAGGACCAAAGGGCAGTGCGGGCAGGGCGGGGGCGAAGGAGGGAGAAGTACGAAAAAAAATAATCTTATCGCGAGGGAGATAAACAATACGAGGAGGGATAAGAAGGCGCAAGTAACGAAGGAATTACTAAAGCAGGGCACGGCAATGCAGGGCGGGCAGGACGGCCCGCCCCTGCCTCGCATATTAGCGTTGCTTTCTATTCCTGATGCGCGTCCTGTCCTATTTACCCGTGGCGGCCGCGCCATTAGCGCCGCGGCGCGCCGAGCCTCGTCCCGGCCGATCGGCCAGGCGCCGTAGCAATTAGCAAACAAACACGTCTGAAGCCCGGCGGGGGAATGAGTACAAACATGCGTCCCCACAACCGAGCTCAAAAGTAAAACTATAATTTTCTTTTTGTATAAGGTCTCAAGATTTTCCATGATGTTCGTAAAATAACAATTTTAAATTGTAATTTTACAAGCAGTTGGAATTGATCGATAATCAAATTGATCGATGATCATGAGAATGAGCTGTCGCAAATTTACAACATACTTTGTAAATGAAAACTACAGCAAATATTTTAAATTTATGAGGGTATTTTTCAGAGTGATATAATACTGCATACTGGTGCGTTTTTTTTAAAATCGTACACAGTATACTTACGGTGTGATTGACTGCCAGATGTGTGAATCTATGTGGAAGTCGGTGGGTGGAAGAAATATTTGTCGCATTGTGCACTCCTCGATTCACGCTATAAAATGGAGTCGCCGGTATTTGGGTCCCTGCAAGCGCCCTCCTGCCAATGGGTACGATCTGGTGTGGGACGCGGCGTGGCGTGGCGTGGTGCGGCGCGGCGCGGCGTGGCTCAGGGGGTGTCGGGATGAGCACGACACGCAGCTTATTTGCATTACATTTCGCTGCGTCCAGCTCCGGCCCCCGGGCAATTCCCTTAAAGCCCCGGCCGCCCCGCCGCCGCACCCACCCCGGGGGCCAGGGCCGGGGGAGGGGGAAGGAGTAGGGGGCAGGGCCCGGCGAGGAGAGGACTCGACAGTGAAAAGGTCATTTGAGCCTAATCTACCGATCAGCTTTTATGGCCAATTAGTGGTTTCGAAAGGCACGGGCGGCGTTAGGACTCGCCGTGTGCAAACCCGCAGAGCGTTATGCAGATGGCTCTTGCCGTCAGTAACGTTCGCACATCGTCCCATGCACGCCGTGTTTCCTCTTCTTTTTTTTGTCGCGTACATCCAATTTCCTTGCAGGCCCGCTGCCAAGAGGAACGCGTGCCCGTGCCCGTCCTCACTGCCGGCTGCCTGGTATCCCTTCCTGCGACGTGCTCCTGGATTTAACCTGTGCCAGAGCGATGGGCGCACCGGCCGGCTCGGCCAATCAACGTCAGCCCCGGCCGCCGAGCTCCAATGAGACATGCACCCCTAACGGCGCCGCTGCAGATTTCTTTCTCTGGAGTACCATCCGTCTTCCGGCGCGGCGGCTCGCGCCCCCTCGGCCCGCCCCCCTGGCTCCAGCTGATATCCCCATGTGGTCTTCCTACAGCCC